TTCTCATTTGTCACTGGCAATAGAAATTGCAGTTAATCTGATAATATCCACAATTTTTCAATAATTAACCTCAGCTTGCCATTTGTTAAATTGGTAAATTTGACTTTTGACTGTCCGATCACACATACCTACATATTGAGTTATAAGATTGGACAAATTTAATTTGACCCATGCTTCCTGCAACTTTAAGCACTGATCCTCTAGAATGTTCATGAATTTATATGTAATAAATAAAGGGCGATGACAGGTAATTAGCTTTCATTAATTAAAAAGCCACTTGCTACTGCAACTGTTCGAGTCCATATTCCAAGTATTATTGAAATTTCACCTTAATATAAATAATAATGTTGTGGTTCAATGACTATATAATCAAGTTAACTATATAGTATATATACATACATTATCCACCTCAAAATGCTAAAATGAATAGTGTCACTTTGTAATTTGCTTTCAAGTATTTATTTTTGGTCATGACTCATGAGACAATAGTTGAGAAGACTAATAATACTTATCTAATTAAAATGTGCCAAACTTATGTGAATTGTGAAATGATGATATCTGAGATTTGTAGCTATATTTTGTGACATTAATCAAATTTGTGTTTTCTGGTTTAACCGAAAAACGCATGCACAAGTAAATTCAACTTTGTTTTGTCACGGTTGAATATTTTATACATGTCAAAAAATTAAAATATTAAAGAAAATATAAATATTTTGTCTGTGACAATCATTTATATTTGTACATCCTCCGAAATTCCAGCCGACACCAATGGATGATCCTTGTATCAACCATTTTTGAGCAATATTTAGACACGTACTCATCATGACTGGCCTTCTTTTATTCATTCAATTTTCAAAACTAACATGATGTGAGGGGAAATAGAGAGAGTCACTTTATCCACAAACAAAATAATAATTAATCAAATTCAAGCAAAATCCTGCCTTAAAGTCACCACTTTTGAGGGGGCATCGTTCAAATTAATAATTAATCACACGGACACGTGCATGGCCGGCGTGAGCAGCCCATAGAAAAAACAAATTACGGGCCCAGATATGTTGGTCGGTTTTGGTAGTTGGAGGCCCATTAAACGGTCAGTGGGTGGATTGTGAGAGGCAGTTACAATTAGTTAATTCTCGAGCCACGTGTCCGCTTCTCCGTAATCGCGGAAGCAAAATTATGGGGAGCTCCGCCGTGGTCGGCGATTGTGTCAGTACCGCCCAAGACACGGCGGGGAAGGGGGCCACGGCCCACCGCCGGTGGGTGTTTTGTCTTGTTGTGGGCCCCGCTTCGAACGAAATGCTCACACGCTTCTGATTAAAAAATATGAATTGAGAAAATACGAGGAGGGCCCCGATTTTCTCATCGAGAAAGTTCTTCGATTGAAAGGGAAGTATCCTATATTAAAATTAAAACTCGTTAAAATATAACTAATTTGTCGTAAGGCAGGTTGGTTTGACCTGCTGAAAACGATTTATAATTCAATATTAATTAAGTCAGAAATTAGAAGGATATTTGGATCTACGTATTATCTACACACATAGTTGTAAATAAAATAAATTCTTTATGGAACAATCTTTGCCAAATAAGTTATACGTCTCGCTTTTGAAGTGTCATACTCATACATACAGACACAGTTAACATTAATAATATAATTAGTGATGCTACATCTAATTACATTAATTAATCGTGAGAATAACTTGTCTAACAATAGCAGGCGTACGTGGCATAAGCACGCGCCGTTAGTACCTTTAAAAACATTTCAACACTAACAAACTTCTAAATACTGAGTAGAACAATTTACACCATAAATATGAAATATGCATTTCTTTTATTTAGAAAGTATAATAATAATATAGAAAACACTATGATAATTATATGGCTAAAACCATCATTATGTATTAGTATAATATAATAAAGAAATTGATCGCGTTTTGGCCTTTGGGCAAGTGCAATAATTTTTTTTTCTCATGAATATTGAAAATGAAAAGATGGTGCATGCATGGGCTGAACATACAACATGAAAGCAAATGTTTTGGCTTTCTACAAAGAAAAGTTATCATAAAAATTAACATATAAAAATGTAATTAATTTATTAATCAATGGCGGTCAATAACAAAACCATAGAAATACCTGATTTTGATAACATATTATTATGATTAGAAGATTTAATCTATCCTTTCCAAATTCATTATCCTTACATTTTTTAATTGATTACATATTTGCTATTTATAGACCTTACAAAAACCTGGGAAGCTTGTATAATAAATTGTTTTGATATAAAATATGGTTGGCATACCAAATTATCCTTTGAAATTAATTTAAGTACATACATAAAATTAAATAAATAGAATTCCATCCACTATCATTAGTACAAGTGGAAACTCAAAATTATTACCTGTCAAATATAATATACGAAATGTTCTCGAAGAGAATGGCAGTTTGTATAACATTAATTAATAGTAGCATCTTTAGTACTGCCATACCTTTAAAAAATAAAGTATAATTTTCTTTTTCTTTTCTCAAAACCAATCGCCCAACGCCACGTCACCTTCCCTGAACTTTCTTCTTTATTTCTTGCAACTACTGTTAATTCTGTTACCACTCGATCCTTCCCTATAAAAATTCACCATTTCTCCCATAGCCAAAATGAACAAACTCAAACACACAGTTCAAGCACAAGATCATCCATTTCCCATATTCACAAAGCTATATATTATCAAAATATTGTCCCTTTTTAAAATCCCGTTGAACACCCTCAAAAAATCCTTAAACTCCCCTCTTAATAATTGCTAGTCTCCATCTAAAAANCACCAAAAAAAAAAAAAAAAACTCACTTGTTTTTTCCCTTTTCTTTCAAGTTTTTTCCTTTGCCACCAAAAAATGGCGCCAAGCCTCATAAAAAACGGTTCAAACTCCTCTGTTTTCCCCAACGGTTTCACGAACTCGATTTTCGCCCTCAAAGACTCAAATTTCTCGGTCAACGGCCATGTTTTCCTCTCCGACGTCCCGCCGAACATCACCGCCGCCCCGATTCCCTCCGGCTGCTTCGTCGGGTTCGATTCCGACGAGCCCGCCAGCCGCCACGTCATCCCCATCGGAAAACTCAAGAACATCCGGTTCATGTCCATTTTCCGGTTCAAGGTCTGGTGGACCACCCACTGGGTCGGGTCAAACGGGTCGGACCTCGAGCGGGAGACCCAAATCCTCCTCCTCGACAGATCCAATTCAGGCCGCCCTTACATCCTCCTCCTCCCGCTCATTGAGGGCCCGTTTCGGGCCTCCCTCCAGCCCGGATCCAACGACAACATCGACCTATGTCTTGAAAGCGGGTCAAGCAAGGTTACCGGGTCAAATTTTCGGGCCGGGCTTTACTTACACGCAGGGGACGACCCGTTTACCTTGGTCAAAGACGCGGTCAAGGTGGCCCGTCGCCACCTAGGCACGTTCCGTTTGCTCGAGGAGAAAACTCCGCCGGAGATCGTGGATAAGTTCGGGTGGTGCACGTGGGACGCGTTCTACCTTACGGTGCACCCTCGAGGGGTTTGGGAAGGGGTTAATGGGCTTGTGGAGGGCGGGTGCCCGCCTGGCCTCGTGTTGATTGACGATGGGTGGCAATCCATTTGCCACGACGATGACCCGATCACGTCCGAGGGGATGAACCGGACGTCGGCCGGGGAGCAAATGCCGTGCCGGCTAATCAAGTTCGAGGAGAATTACAAGTTTAGGGAGTACGAGAGCCCGAATAAGGATGGGCCCGGCCCGAATAAGGGGATGGGGGCCTTTGTGAGGGATCTTAAGGAGAGGTTCGGGAGTGTGGATTATGTGTACGTGTGGCACGCGTTGTGTGGGTATTGGGGTGGGTTGAGGCCCAACGTCGCGGGCTTGCCGGAGGCGAAGGTGATCAAGCCCAAGCTGACGCCTGGGCTTGAGACCACGATGGAGGATTTGGCTGTGGACAAGATTGTAAACAATGGTGTTGGGCTCGTCCCACCGGAATTTGCGGATGAAATGTACGAAGGGTTGCACTCGCATCTCGAGTCCGTGGGGATTGACGGAGTCAAAGTTGACGTAATCCATGTAAGTATATTTTTTTGTTTAAATACATAGTAAGACTGTTGTTCGATATTTCGTAGTATGAGATAGTTTGCGAAAAAAAAAGAAATTATGCTATAAGTATTTCTTATAGGCAATTTTACACTTATTAATTTGAAAGTTGGATCTTAATTATGAGGCTTTGAATTTTGGTTTACACTCAGTTGTTGGAGATGCTGTGTGAGGACTATGGAGGGAGAGTTGAATTAGCAAAAGCTTACTACAAAGCGTTGACTTCTTCAGTGAGGAACCATTTCAAAGGGAATGGTGTGATTGCAAGCATGGAGCATTGTAATGATTTCATGTTCCTAGGGACAGAGGCCATTTCCCTTGGTCGCGTTGGTGAGTTTTTCTTAAGCATGAAATCTCTTTAAATTAGTAATATAAACACATTCATGTAAAATCGAGGATGAATTTGAGAATTCTTAAGAAATTTGGATATTGATCTCACACCAATCTTACAACTAGTCGTCAAACGAAACAAACAGCTCGTGATCTCGACTCTGCTAGTTTTAGTAAAGCTCGAAAATCAGAATTTTTTATATAATTTTCTCAAGCTCGACTCGCTGAGGCTGTCGAGCTCGCTTATTTATATCTACTAAACACGATCGAAATCGAACTTGATTGAAACAGGGGACGATTTCTGGTGCACCGACCCGTCAGGCGACCCGAACGGCACGTTCTGGCTGCAGGGCTGCCACATGGTCCACTGCGCCTACAACAGCCTTTGGATGGGCAACTTTATCCACCCTGATTGGGACATGTTCCAGTCGACCCACCCATGCGCACTCTTCCACGCCGCCTCCCGAGCCATCTCCGGCGGCCCCATCTACATCAGCGACTCGGTCGGCAACCACGACTTCGACCTCCTCCGGCGACTCGTCCTCCCCGACGGCTCGATTCTCCGGTGCCGCCACTACGCCCTCCCGACCCGCGACTGCCTCTTCGAAGACCCGCTCCACAACGGCACCACCATGCTCAAAATATGGAACCTCAACAAGGTTTGTTGTGTTGTTCGTTTATATTTATCAATTTGTTCGACTACTGATTTGATTGTTGGATCTTCACTAGATTTACCTCCTGCAAGCTTTCAAATGATACATCTCAATACAAAATCAGATATCCTGATTATCGAAAAAGCTAACCATAGTTTTTACGTGCGCCCTTCTTCTTTGTCCATCGAGTACCGATATACCAATTTTCACAAGTCGATAAACCACATCACATTTTGTTCGTATAATTCGTTAGTTGAGTTAAAGCGTCTCATGTTGTTCGTATTATTCGTTAACCGAGTTTGATGATTTTTCCGGCCAGTTCACGGGCGTGGTGGGCGCCTTCAACTGCCAAGGCGGGGGTTGGAGTCGGGAGGAGAGGCGCAACAAATGCGCATCCGAGCACTCGAAGCCCGTCTCCTCATCAGTGGGCCCGGCCGACGTCGAGTGGCGTCAGGGCCAAAGCCCGATTCCAGTCGAGGGTGTTCGAACATTCGCCATGTACTTTTACCGCAAGAAAGAGTTGATCCTATCCGAGGCATCGGGCACGGTTGGATTATCTTTGGACCCGTTCCATTTCGAGCTGATAACGGTGGGCCCTGTTCGGGCCCTGCCCGGAGGTTCGGTGCAGTTTGCACCGATTGGGTTGGTGAACATGCTTAACTCAGGTGGGGCCGTACAGTCGATTGCGTTTGACGAGCGCAGTGAAGGTGTTGTGAGAGTTGGAGTGAAGGGAAGTGGAGAGATGAGGATTTACGCTTCGGAAAAGCCGGTTGAGTGTAAGGTGAATGGCGAGGGAGTGGAGTTTGTGTACGAGGGTGGCATGGTCGCGGTTAACGTGCCGTGGATGGATGATTCGGGGCAATCTGTGATCGAGTATTCGTTTTGAGTTATTATTATTATTATTATTATTTTGAAGATGTTGTTATGACATTAAAGTGTATTTTGTGTCTGAAGCAAAGGGATGTATGTTCATTACTTTGGATAATTTATCGTTTGTCTATGGCTTTCTTCTGACTGTATTTACTTCTTAGTATGCCAAAAAGATGTCCAGGATCAATTATTTCGCTCCATTTCTTACTGGAATCTCCAAAACCACATTGTCTGATAAAAAAACTTGCTGAATATTTGTATTATCAACTTTTTTTCTCTAGGATATGAGATAATCCTCCAAAATGTGATCAAGTGATCTTTGAATATTTACTAGAACAAAATATAATCAGAAATCAGAAGGATCATTATTAGTTACTATTACACGGACCATTTCGCCGCACGTATCAAAATCGACAGATGCTCCTTCAGCACTTTTATCGGTAAAGTAAAATCGAATTGGGCTTCAGCTCGAGAACATCGGCTGCACGCAGACGCTTTACCACGGAACCCAATAAAAACAGCCCAATCTCCCAGGGCCCAACCCTCCACTCGCTTGAACCGGGTAGAATAATGAGATCCGACCGTCCAAATTTTGAAGTAATGGGCAGATGAAAGCTCTGGCGAGCCCTTTCCGGCGGATTGAACGGAGTGGAGACGATGAAGCAATTGACGGTAACCTGTGCAGCTCTAAATTTTTACCATCAAATTTATTACGGCACTGTGGTGGTCTCCAAATCTTCCTCTCTAAATAATAATTTGAATTTTTGAGACCCACTTGTTATAAAGGGGCTAAACAAAAGCCGATCCCCTTTCTCCATTACTGAAGCAATCCCTAATTTTATATTTTTTCTCTCGTTTTCAGCTAAATTTGGAACCCTCTCACCCTCGGGTGCTGCGGCTCTTCTTCAGGCGATCGTTTGGGCTGCGGTCGCGGGTGCCGGCTGGGGGTTTTGACACAGTGCCTCTTGGTGTTCCCGTAGATGTTCCTCTCGGAAGGAGCTGGCTGTGTGGTCCGGATTTAGTTAGCTGTCATTTGGGATTTTTTTGGCAGGGTGAGATTTGGGAGGATATTATTTTTGATCGGTTTATTTTAGTTATGCTTGGTGTTGTTTGTGAGTGTTTTGTGCTTGTTCTGTTTTTGTTTCGTGTTTTTTTTTGTTTGTTATTTCTTCTGTTTGGAATAATTATTCTCCATTATGTGAGAATTTTATTGTTAGAGTGGGAGGGTTGTGGTGTTTTAAAATTCCTCTCATTGGATTCAACTATATAGTTGTTCCTTTTGGCTATTATTGATTAAGTTCTTTTTGTTGTTATATATTTTTCATTTAATGAAAGTCTACCGTTTTGAAAAGAAAAAAACACACTTTTTTTTTTCATATGTGGGCTCAGACCTCCTTGTCTTGTGGAGTTAGTTATCTAAATTGCTGATGGTGCGACTTCATTGTGTTTTAACTATTTAACCTACATGTTCATATACTATTTTTTTTTTATGGAAACGACAATTAATATTATATAAACTCAAAATAAGTATAACAGGTGACCAAATGGTTACCAAAAAGGGTCTATAACTGTTAAGAGACAAAAATAAACAAACCACCAGTAGACACTAGCATAGAACTGCTCCTCCACAAAGGAATAACTCTACAAAAAGTTCACAAACAAAGAAGACTAAAATACTTTACAAGGGAGACTAACTTAGTCTACGAATGAGAGACTAGCAACAAAATAAATTATCAAAAAAGAAAAACAAAAAAAAAAACAACGAGAAAACTAATAAATTAAAATATGATCTTCCCCATTTCTTGCCCCAACGTCGCTACCATCCTAGGAGCCCAAAGACCCGATATCGACCACAAACAGACACCGCACCGATCTTACGAGCACAATCCAACACATCTAAAAGTGTTAAGGCATAGAAACAAACTTCAATCTACAGATCCAACATTCTCAAACTTAAGAACTCCAATTCATCAATATGTACATGCACAAAACCACACAAATGTATATAAATCTAGTGGAGGGAAAAAAAATGATAATTGTATTGCATTACATATAGGTCCTTTTTTTTTTACAAAAAGACGTGGACGATTATCCCTACCGCTGTTAAATAGCGCCCTAAAAGTGGACACCAATATACCACGGGCATCATCCAACCCGAGTTTCCATCAGTCAAGAACAACTATCCTAAAGGGGTTGGAGGTCACGACGAAGGGCTACACTAAACCTTCAAATCTTGATAGATGAAAAAAAAAGTTTGAAAGCCTAAAAACTAGGGTTTTAGACCGACTCGTAGCCTGAAATCAGTGGGGAGAGCTTGTTATATTAAAGTGAATTTAACAAATCTAAAATATATATAAAGTTGAAGAACAAGCTGAAACACTTTCTCCAACGGCGATTCAGATTGTTTTATTTGATCCGAATTCTTCAAAACTTTTTATGAGAGTTTGATTTTTCTTTTTGTGTAATCTGAATATATAAATTATTTATAATTTTGTGGTATTCAGAAAGTTTTACAAAATCATATTTTTTTTTAATCATTGGTTGATGTATTTTTAATGCTTTTTTGATATTTTAAATCCAATATACATACACGAAGTTTTATATAATGGAAAGTTCTTGTTTTCGAGATTTAACATACTTTTAAGACTTTTTGAGGTTTTATATTCAATACACATACATGAAGTTTTATAAAATGGGAAGTACTCACTTTTGAAAATTGACAATCAAAAAATTTAATTTATTTATCACCAAATATATTTATTTTAAGACTTATTAAAATTTTAAACATATAGCATATATATATGATTTTTCATATAAAAGTAGAAAACAATATAAGAATTTATAGGATAAATTCCATTAGAAGGCTCAAATTTTGTATATTGTATCAATTTAAGGCTTGAATTTTATTCTTTTTTAATAGAAGACCTATATTTTAGGTTATTCTCAATTTAAGGCTTACTTTTTAGTTAACTTTCAATTGTAAGACCCAATTAACTTTATATTTTGATATAAATATGTGAACCAATTAACTTTATTTTATAATATAGTTATGTGAACAAAAATAATTTTTTATTTAGTTTATATTTTACATACTTATAATAAATATCTTTAGTAATATTTACTTAATAATAAAGCGAAACTATATAAAATATATTTATGCAAAAGTTTAATCATGAATAATTTAAAAAAATGATAAGTGAATTAAAAAATATGAAGTATTATTTTTATTTATAATATAAATATGTAATAAAACTCAAAATAATATATAAATGCAATCTACAAATCATTTTCAACAAGTAATGACATAGTATCAACTTTTGCTTCCAAAAAGAAAAGTTAAAATTAATTTTTATTAATATAATTTTATTTATAAGTATGTAAAATATAAATTACAAAATAATAATAATACCTTTATTCACATAATAGTTGTTTTATATATTTATATGAAAAGGTAAAGTTAGTTGGGCCTTATAATGGAAAGTTAACTAAAATGTAAGCCTTAAAGTGAGAATAACCTAAAATATAAGCCTTCTGTTGAAAAACTACAAAATTTAGGCCTTATATTAATACAATTACTAAAAGTTAAGCCTTCCAATAGAATTTCCCTATTTAAAAAATAATTAAATTAAGATGTCACTTAAAATTTTGAACAAAATAGACATTATAAATGGTTATTGCATTTTGCTCCCCAAACTTGGAGTTATTCAAAAACGACTACACATTTCTCAGTTTTCTTCTAATTCAATTTTGTTTTTCTTCTATCCAATCCCCCAAAATGGTAAAACCCATCAGCGTGTTGGCATCCTCCATTACACAGAGAGAAAACCCGTGTACATAAATACAGAGGAGAACAGCTCAACCAGATACACGAAAACTAAGAGAAAGAGTTTGAGATTAATTTTGTTCTGTTACTAATTTGAATCCGCAAATGGTTGAGATATATACGATACCTATCTGCCAATAGGAGAAGAAGATTCAGAAATCCAAACCCTAGGAGAATATCATTTATCAGATTTGATTCAGCCTGCTTCAGGTTCATCTCCATTTTCAGTTTTCAATTAGGTTTTTTGCGATGATACTTTTCACATGAGTTTCGACGTGCTCTTGGTTCTGCCGGTTGTTTAGTTACGCAATCAGGTGCTATGATTTCATCTGGTTTTGATGGTCTTGATATGTAGTCGAAAAATGTGCATTGGTTTAATGGTTATTTGTATCTGCAAAATGCTATTTGTTATAATTTTTTGTTGAATTTATGGTTCTGTGAAATTCTGGAGAGTGTGCCTTGGAGTGGTTGATTCTGTGATTATTTACGGATTTTCTGGAACCTATTGAAAAATGGGTGTCTACAGTATCATTGATTGTATTTCCCTGTTTCCTAGCTGTTGCTGTTATAATAATATGCCCGTTTAGTTCGATCCTACTTATAGCATGTATCTGAGAGTTCAATTTTTAAGTGGCCACTGGCTGTAAAAGATGTGGTTTGACTGGTTGTCAAAAAAGTTATTGACTACACGTCAACTGACGTGTCAGATATTGTTTAGACATGTCAGATCGAGGTAATATTGAGATTCCTATACTTAATTTCTGAATCCTTGATGGGATTCATTCAAAGGATTCGTAAGGAAAGATGTTTCCGACTGTCAGTGACACGTGTAGTTATAATGATTGAAATGGTTGTCTGTCCTAGTTTGAAAGCTAAATTAGAATCTTCATGAACGTAGATGTTTTCATTTTAATTTCAAAAAGTTGTATCTAATTTTTGGTTATTAAGTGACGTTGTAGTGATTATATTGAGATAATTAATTTTATATGCATGGTAGTTTTACTCAGTCGTTTGCTCTTGTGAAATTACAAAACCCCATAAAAATCCATTAGATATTTAAAATTAACACATCGTAAGAGTTTTTGTATTTACTCTCAAAATTAGAGGGTGGTGAACCAATCTGGAGTTAATTCAGTTAGGATTTTGGCAAGTTAAAGGGCGGTAGGATAATATGCAGACTAACCTGAAGAAATACGAAAATCATATTTTAATTGGGTATGATGGTGACAGTTGCATGAACAAAGAAATAAGAGGTATTTTACAAAGTGCATTTTTAAATAGAAAATGGCCGTGTTGTGTGATGTATTACTGAAATTATCATTTTATATATATCTGCTAACTGAATTTAATATTTATCTTTATTGCTTTCATTACCTCACTTGTATCTACCTAATCTGGCTCAGAAAAAAAAAAGTAAAGAGTTGCCTGCACAATGGCAGTGTATGCCTTTTTTTTTCATGAACTAGAAAACCTCATTATTTAGAAGATAATTAGTCATTTCCTTTTCCTTTTTCTTTGTTTCTTGAAATGCTCTGAGTCTCTGAGATAGTTAATTTGGTATTTACGTTCTTCTCATGGTTATTGAAATCATTGGAATTTCATAAATTTGAGGCTGTTATTCTATGCCAGGTGATCATCCCTAACAAGCTTCTGTTTCTCACATCGTATCTGACCTGATTATCGACTTTGCTTCTTCCGCTTCTGGATCTAGCTTTAGATGTTTAATCAATTTATTTGATTACATTAACAAATATCCTGGAAGGCTAGACGTCTCGATAATCATTTCATGGAGCTCAAGGTTTCTCCTGAAAAACCAGGATTTTCATCTTCGGATGTGGCCAGTGATCCTGAGGATAAAGTGATCAGTGACGGCGAGGATGAGGACGATGACCGTAATCACAAACACCGTAGGCGGGAGGCAAATTCACATTCTCTGGAAGAGGACTCTCTCGATCAGGGTTTAACAAGACCGTATAAAAAAAGGAACAGGCCTTTTGAGAATGGTTTTTCATACAGGGAAGATGATCGTCAAGCAGGTGAAACCTGGAAGAATTACGATAATGCTTCAGGTAAAGACTTCCCCTCGAGGTTTGATAAAAGGCGTCTGAACCAAGCCTCTATCTCCAAATCTCCCCTAGAATTGCACCAAAGAGTTAGGGGTAGGGGAAGGGAGCCTATTTCCTGGGGCGTACATGACTCGAGGCTTGGTTTGGCTGATATTCCATCACAAATTGTTCAGCCTGGGTATGTTCCTTCTGTTTTGTATGCCGGGAGAGGCTTGCCCAATGTTTCTAACACACCGAATACTTCGTGGAATGCATTCGGATTGGTTCCAGGCATACCTAACGGGGGGTTTGACCCACTTCAGCCCCTAGGTCTGCCAGGGGTACTTAGACCGGCTATTAATCCTGCATTGAACATTGGACTTCCAAGGCAGCGGTGTAGAGATTTCGATGAACATGGTTTTTGCCTGAGAGGAGACATGTGTCCAATGGAACATGGAGTTAATCGTATTGTAGTTGATGATTTTCAGGTCTGTGAACTATTTGACTTATAAATTCCTCTTAATTTACAAGCTTTTAAGGGCGTTCATCTTTTAAATGTCGATTTAACTCCAAGCTTATGGTTTAAGATCAAACATCTCTATTAAGAAACCGTTGTTTTCCTTTAATCACGGCAAGGATTTAAAACGATTATCTTCTGGTTTAAGTCATGATTTCTAGAATACATATGGGGAGTCTATGGTTATTTTCCCTGCAATTTAATCCATACTTCTGCATTCATACTTATTGCATATGCTTATAGAACTTCTGCTTAAAATTAACTTCTCTTTTCTGGAAAATGCAGAGCCTTTCACAGTTCAATCTCCCTGTTGCTCCTGGCTCACAGCTTCTAGGACCATCTCCCGGGCAAGGAGCTTTACCTGTAAATAACAAAAGTTTTCGCGCAAGCATTATCAAGCCCCGAACGAGTGAAGATGTTTTCGGACCAAACAGTGGTGCTGTGGGAGTTTCCACAGAGGGAGCATCTGATGTGTATGATCCAGATCAACCTTTATGGGCGAATAATGACCCAGAAGCATTCCGTGCACTGAATCAATCAACTGCTGACGGAACTGAGCCTTTATTGGATGTTGAATCCTCCAATTGGCCAAAGATTGAATCAACTGAAGAGCTTCCTCTAAAAAATGTCACCACCTCTGGATCTCAAACCCCGTCTGTGTTGGGAGGGGTAGGTAGCTTAAAACGTAATTCCAAAGCAAAGAACAATTTTGGTGCTGTTGGACCATCCTCAAGTTATCTTGAACGAGACATCAGAAGTGCTAAAGCACTAAACAGTGATGTTTCTCATCAAGGAAAACAGTTAAATGCAGTAGATGGGGATAGTCCTCTAGTCAAGGAATCATGTCTCAAGCAACAAAGTGATTCTGCTCACAATATTCGAAGACCGTCTCAGAAGGCACTTCGTACTGTATTTGTCAGCGGCATCCCTCTGAAAGATAATAGAAGGGAGGCTCTGCTTTCGCATTTTCAGAAATTTGGCGAAGTAATTGACATATATACCCCTGCAAATAGTGAGCGGGCATTTGTTCAGTTTTCTAAAAGAGAAGAAGCAGAAGCAGCATTGAAGGCGCCTGATGCAGTGATGGGCAATCGATTTATCAAGCTTTGGTGGGCAAACCGAGACAATATTCCTGATGATAGGATAAGTGGTAATGGTCCCGTTCCAGTTATTCGTCGTGGGTTGACTAATCGCGCCCCTTCTCGTCCATTTGTTCTTGATAAAGAACAAGAAAATCCTCTGGTTGCAAGTGCCAAAGAGGGTAACAACCATGCTTCTGTTACTCAACTGCCAGTTCATGATCACCTTAAGGCTATGGCTGTTAATGGACCCAAAGCCCCTCCAACACAACAAAAGAAGTTGGAAAACTTAGAGCTTTTAAAAGAACAACTTCGTAAGAAGCAGGAGATGCTTGACCAGAAACGAAACGAGTTTCGGAACATGTTAGACAAACTCGAGAAACAAGTAATTATCGAATTTCTTAATTGGAGTAAGCTAGAAATGCATTGATATTCATTAGTTGTTTGTTTGTCCCCACTGTTACTTCCACAAAACTTCTCTATCTCTTCCAATCATTCCAGGGTTTTATTTTACTGTGGTATTTCTTTATTGCATTTGAGTATTTACCTTGCTTGGTGTCTGCTGAATGAGTTTGTGATTGGTTGGTTGAATTTGAATGTGAGTTGCCTAATAGTGATCATTATATGATTCTATTTATGTGGCTGAGTATTTTATCATTCTAGTTTGCCTTCATCTGAATCATTTGAGTCTCTGCTTAAAATGTCATAAATCACAATTCGTTTTTACTGTTGTCAAGGGCTTCATCTATGCCCTNTTCGAATGTCCAACTTTTGCAGGCAGTAGGTTCCAAGGATGTCACATTAACTGATCCGAGTACCGAGGGGCTTAAAGACGAGACACCACCTAATTGTGCTAAAGCTGAAACTTCCAAGTCATTAGGAAGTGATAACATAAAAACAGAGAATGCAAATTCTGCTGGGTCAGCTGTTTTGCAGAAGTCCACTGCAAGTGCAAATGTGCATGCTCGGGAACCTTTGAAACCTGCCTTTTGGCAACCTGCACTTTCTGGAACACCTTTCACAGTAAACAAATTCAAGCTGGACAATCGGCCCACAACATTCAGGATTATTCCACCATTGCCTGCAGGCCTTGCAAATGTATATTTTTTTTCTTCCATGCATTAAATATTGCTTTAAATTATGTTTCTCATTTGGAAGTATCAGTTTAATGGTAGTTTTAATTTTAGGAATACTAGCTTAAATCACCCTGGGTTTAATTCTCTCATAAAAAGAAACCTACTGTACTTTCCAAAATAACAAATAATCCTCTAGGGCGACGCCCTTTTCTATCTACGGTGATCTCTATGTAACCAGATTAGAAATCCATTATGAACCCATATTGCTGATTGTCACCCATCTGTATATTACTTGCCCGTTTCTTATTTTGGTGGGCCATGTAATATCTCCAAGGATTTAGCGGTGGATAGGAGCGCTTGGAGGCTAGCAATCAACGTGCCAGAACCGTGACTTTAGCTCTTTTCTCTTTTGCTCTTCCTTTTGTTTCGAGCCCTTTTTGTGTTTCTCTTACCATTGTTTCTCTTGGGTTTCATCTCTACCCTACCCCGACTTGCTTGGGACTAAAGGCTATGTTGTTGTTGCATGTAATACATAAACTGATGAAGTTCTATACTAATAGGGCTCCATAAACAGAGCCCTATCTGGTTTTACAGTTTGTATGACAAACAAACCTCAAGGTGGTATTTGTAGCTTCAAAAGAGAACCTTCATTTTTATTTTTCATATATTTGTTTCGAAACACGTACTCAATTTTCTGTTTATCAGGTAGCTACTCTGGAGGAGCACTTCTCTGCTTACGGAGAACTGTCTTCGGTGGAGCTTGAGCAAGAAGACACCAAAGATGATTCTAAACCAGCCACCATTACTGCTCGAGTTTCCTTCACGACTCGTCATTTTGCTGAGAAGGCATTTTTGCACGGCAAATCCTGGCAAGGTCACAAGTTACAGTTTACATGGTCCAAATCTGTTATTTCTGGCAAAGGAAGTGGTGGCTCTGGGAAGGTCTCGGTTGCTTCTGATGAGCGGTCGGATGCTAATGTTGAGGATGGTGAGATAAATGCACCTGCCCATTATGAGAAAACTGCTGTGTTAGGTTCGCCAGATGAAGTTGAAGAGTTGAAAGTAGAAGCTGACGTGGAATCTGGTGAACAGGACAAAGACTTGAAATTGATTTCAGCCTCATTGGAATCTGGTGAACAGGACAAAGACTTGAAATTGATTTCAACCTCATTGACTGAAGAAAACCAGCTCTCTTGATGTGATTGTTCTACTCTGCTTGTAATTGTATAGTGAGGTAAAATGAATGTTGGATTATATTGGTATGATGACTGTAGCTTAATTCTAGCTTCATGAATTTTGTTATTTAGTTTTGTTTTTCTTTTTTCTTTTTGTATTTTTCATTTTTCTCATTTTTGGGATATTTGAAGAGGTTTCTCTAGTTTTCTAGTGCTAGCCTTAATGTAAACTGTATTCGCATTCTTGATAGGTGTTTTTGGAAAACAGGGATTACAGTTGAAATATATAATCCTGGATTAATTTCTGCTCGTCTCTTTATTTGTGCCTTATGTGTTCAAGTGACCAATTGCAGTGTTGCCTGTCCCCTTGCGATTGAAAAACATCCAGCTGGGCCAAACCTTCAAGCGAAATTATTTATTATTCTTTGTAAATGAAAATGTATTTACATGTTTTTAGATAAATAAGGTATTAACATATTATAATATTAATATTTAAAAAAAATGTATAAATAATTTGTTATACTTTTTAAATAAAAAAACTATAGGTTAATTATGCGTTTTGAATGAAAATGTACTTTATATATAGCGATGTTGACCGAATCTAGTGATGTTGACCGAATCTAGTATCGTATGTCCTGAGTTCGACTCAGGTGTTGATGGCGACGAGCTCGCAATAGCTTTTCTGAACAAATATGATCGGCTCTGAGTCTAGTTTATTTATTTCTTATTATATTTCCTTAGATATTTAATTAGTAGGTAAATAATTATCTTGGTAGTCAAGATATGTTAGGACTCTTGTTACTTTTATCCGGCTTGGGGAAACAGAACGAGACAGTTTGGATCAATAATATTTCTGCGTTGTGAACTTTTGTGAGAGAGTATCTCATATTCTTCCCGTTCGTATCACGTTCTACATCAGTTGGTATCTAGAGACCAGCGACGATCCACGATGCCGCCCAAGAGAGATAATGCCGTCGACGATCGTTTCCAGCGAATGAAAGATCCAAGGGATGGACGACCGATTTATGGACCTTTCAACGGGGATCGAGGAATTGCGCGAAGCAATACCATGATGGAGGAGGCTCGTATGAGACGCGACGGCGGCGACCGGGCCGTGTGCAGTGGGTTTCGCGGAGGTTGTGGGGGACGCGGCTATGGCGGGGCGCCCCGCCAGCGTTCATCAGGGACTCCGTCCGGCGACGAGGACGATGACGACACCGTCAGCGAGGTCAACCCGCTCGCTGGAGCACATCGACGACGTCCAGCGGGTGACGACGTCTTCAGATAGGGGGATCGCGGCGGTGGTCGTGCTCCATGCGGCTTCGGCGGCGGAGGGTTCAGACACCGCGAGGGACAGTTTGCGAGGGGCCGCGCTGACGCCGAAGGTGACAGCGAGTGGGGACCCGAGGACCTAGAGTTTGGTGACGGCAGGCATCGTTATCGCGGTGAGGATGATCGGGACTTCGACAACAGGAGCGGGCCGAGTTCCGTGAGCGTGACAGTTACGATAGAAAGAGACCACACCGACGTGATGGCAGACGTCCGATAGAAGGGGACGATGAGTCGCGTTGGGAGCAAGGGTTTCGTGTTGAGATTCCCGAGTTCGACGGGGGGTGGACGGATCGGAATTTATCGATTGGTGCGCTTCAGTTGAGGCCGCCCTCGCTTTCAAGGAGGTCCCGAAAGGGAGGCGGGTCGCTTTAGTCGCCACACGTTTTCGGGGACGGGCGACAGTATGGTGGATGCAACTCACCAGCTTGCGGCATCGTCAAGGGAAACCGCCACTATCATCGTGGATGAAATTCCGAGAGTATGTAGAGCGTGAGTTTGTTCCTTACAACTACGATAGCCTTGTTTATCAGCAGCTGCAAAATTTACGACAAGAGACACGCTCGGTAAATGAGTATACGACAGAGTTCCATCAGCTTTTGACTCGTGTCGACTTACGTGAGACGAAAAATCAGCTAGTTTCTCGGTATGTAGGAGGGTTACGTATGGGGATTCGCGATATGTTGAATATGTTTCGACCGGATTCGGTGTCGGATGCTCACTTACTAGCCCTCCTCGTTGAGATACAGTTGGGGCAGAAAGCGGGACAGCCCGGGACTTCATCTTCACGTCCGGGAGCGGCAATGGGAATAGGCCCGCAAGCCGCGCATTTAGGACCAACGGCGAGTGGCGGGTTTGGCCTCGGCACAGCCGCCGGTCGTACTCCGACATCCGGTGAAGGGATTCGATGCTTTGGGTGCGGTGAGCTTGACCATCGGCAGACGGCTTGTCCAAAAGGGGCCGGGTCACGTGCTTTGTTCGCCGAGGAAACAGCGGAATATTCGACGACCGCAGTATATGATGGCCCTCCTATTTTTTACAAGGAGCCGGAGGTTCCTGAAGTGCATGTCTCGGGGGACGTAGGACATGCGCTTGTCCTGCGACGGTCTCTCTTGTCACCGCACATCGAGTCCATTGATGAGGGTCAGCGTCGAAAACTTTTCGAATCTACGTGCACCATAGGCGGTCGGGTATGTCGTTTTGTTATTCAATCTGGGTCCTGCGAAAATGTGATCTCTACTGAGGCTGTGGCGAAGCTTGGGTTGTCGACAGAGCAGCATCCATATCTTTATGCTCTCGCATGGATACAGCGTGACAACGCTGTCCCTATTGACCGACGAGTGTTGGTGTCTTTCTCTATTGGTTCTGCATATAAGGATGAGGTGTGGTGTGATGTCGTGCCGATGGATGATTGACACCTTCTCTTAGGGCGTCCTTGGCAATTTGATCGCGCCGTGTTGCATAATGGGCGCGTTAACACATATGCGTTCTTGTTTGGGGCACCCGCTTTGTTTTACATCCCTCGGCCCTCTGTTCGGTTCCTTGGCCACCGCCGTCAACGGCTTTATTAATTTCTCGCGTAGAGGCATGTGAGGAGGTGTTCGGTTCGTTGGTCGACCGTTCGATGGTGTTTGATGTGAGAGACTTTGCGTGAGTTGTTTCTACAACAAACGGTCGGCTCGGCCCCTACGAGATTGTCGAACACCTTAGTCCGGATGCCTACCGTCTCTGTTTGCCGTCGCATGTGTGTTCGCCGGATGTTTTTCATGTGACACAGTTGGCCCCTTTGCAGCTCGGCGACTCCGACGGAGACGAGCTCGGTTCGGATTCGAGGGCGAATCCTTCTCAACCGGGGGAGGATGATGGAGACAAGCTTGCAATAGCTTTTCTGAACAAATAGGATCGGCTCCGGGTCTAGTTTATTTATTTCTTATTATATTTTCCTTTTAGTGCATTTATATTTCCTTAGATATTTAATTAGTAGGTAAATAATATTCTTGATAGTCAAGGTATGTTAGGACTCTTTTTACTTTTATCTGGCTTGGGGAAACAGAATGAGATAGTTTGGATGAATAATATTTCTGCCTTGTGAACTTTTGTGAGAGAATATCTCATATTCTTCCCGTTTCGTATCACGTTCTACATCAGGTGTCTTATTGTCAAGTCTGATACAATTCTAATGTCTTAATCGAGTCTAGTGTCTTATGTTTAGTTGAGTTTGACTCGCGTAGTGTCTATATGAATCTAAGTTCCTCTCGTTTAAATTGACTTAGACTCACTCAACGAACTTGTAATCCTGAACTTCACTCTTTTTGACATTTGTAGTCCTTAGATCTTATGAACAGCAAGAAACACAAAAAAACAGACAACACCAACAATATTCCCATAAAATTCCACAAATATTCACAGATTAACCACCACAGCTCTACACAAGACAACAAACTAATTCAGAACAGCACACCAAAAGTANAAATAAAATTACACTACTACTAGCCCTCCATTTTTATTTTTTTTATTGATATTCGGTGACTCATCATGTCCGGCCGCCGGCGGCCTCCTGCGCCTTGCTCTTGATTGCCTCCCCTGCCTGCTTGGTCTTCTCGCCCACGTACGCCGTCCCTTCCTGCACGCGCCGCCTGGCGTAGTCCAGCGGCTTCTGCCCGGTCACCTGCCGGCTGCCAGAAGGAGTTCAACCCGAACAATCAATCATAAGAAATTTACTTTGGGCAGTCCAGTGACAGGGACGTCAGCGTAGTCCAGTGACATTCTTGTCGGGCCTTTGGCCCATACAATCAATCACAAGAAATTTACTTTGGGCTTAGCTGAAGTTGAAGGGGTCTTTCCTACAAGAATGAATTCAATTTTATTAGCTCGATCGTGTACAGACTCGGGATTCCTGGACGGTTGGGAGGGCCCAATATCTGAGGTTGACTGATACGACACCGTTTGGAAGTCAATACCAAATTGAATTGCCTACAAATGCGAGGTGAATTCATTTGAGATTTTTTTTTAGAAATTCTGATGTATTTATTTTTAAAAATTTTGAGGCATTCATTCGAAATTTTAAAAAGTCACAAAATTTTGAGATATTTAACTTGTTTAAGATTAGAATTTATTAAGACTTCTTAAGATTTGTTGGGATATAAAAAAAAAATCATATATAGAATTTCTCTCAAAATTCCACTTCCACACTGAAGATTTCACAAAATTCCTCTTAAATAAATTTTTAAAATGTCATTCAAAATCCCAAACGAATACACTCCTTCCTCTCTTGATTAATATTCTCTTAATTATTTTAATTAAGCACGTTTCTAAATTTTTTGTAGTGATAATACTAATAATAAATCGATTTTAGTGTATTATAGTTTGAGGAGATGCTCTCTAACGGTTTACTTTGACAAATTAGGTTTCTTTTTATTTTTTATTTAATTTTCGGAAATTGACAAAATAAGAAACCTAGATATATATATTCTATTTCATTTTACCTATTATACATCATTTGTTAGCACATGTAGAGTGCTTTATTAAATTAAAAAGTTGGTCTAACTTAATGTTGAAAGTGTTGGCTATATTTGTGTTCGAATATACCCTACAATACTTCTAATTATCTCATTTTTGTCGGGATCCAATTAATACTTTTCAATCAAGCTAAATATTAATTAAAATGACTGAATTTAAACATGAATTATACAAATAGGTCAATAATAATAATAATCATATGAAATCTCAAAAGATTCATGCGCATCTTTTAGCAGATAGTGACTAATAAACAACTTTTTGCATATTTCAAAATCACATCCAATGATTCCATCCAAAAACCGAATAGTGATCCTAATTGATCACCCAATGTCATACACAAAAAGCATATTGTTATATATATATATATATATATATATGTAACATCATATAAACTTTAATGAGCTACTATTATTGTTAATTGTGCTTTTTTTTTTAATAATAAACCCTAGCTCCGGCCATCGCCACCTGCCCGGTCGTTGCCTGGCGCCTTGTCTGGCCCGGCATTAACCACCGCATTCCACCCCCAGTTCGAGTACGGCAAAAGGAACCCATTAGAATAACTCGACCCGGGATTCGCCCGCCGCCCACCGTACGAGCCCATGACGTCGTGGTTGCTGACGAAGCGCATGATGTCAGCATTGGTGGCGTCCAGCTCCCTCTGCAGGGTGATGACTTGGCGCTGGAGGGTTGAGATGGCGCCTACGCAGCCGTAGACGGGGTCCTTGAGTCGGGCTTCTGCCTCGTAAGCGAGGGAGGTGACGGCATCATCGCGATGATGTGGCGGAATCTCGTTGAGCAGTTTGCTGACGTTGCTGGCACCGAAGATTTTGTGGACGTTGATGAACTTTGTGGGGTCCTCGGGGGGAAAGTAGGGCGCGAAGACGCAGCACGGGAGGCATTTGCGCCGGAGGAATTTGCAGGCGCCACACGGGGGGTTCGAGTAGGAGGAAGCCATGTTTGCCTAAATTTTGATTGAGTGAGAAAAAGAATCAATTGTTAGTATATTGCACTTTACTCAAAAAATGGCTTAGGCGGCCGCCTCCGATTTGCATGACTCAGCTAAAAAAATCGGTCGGGCGACTAAGCGGTCTCGGCTGTCATGTGATTGGGCGGTGCCTAAACTGGCCGAGGCGTTTGTAGGCGGGCTCGGCGATACTTTTTCAGTTTTTTTTTAAATGCTAATAATATTATTGTGTTATCATGTTTTATTTATAATATAGTAATATTATTATTTGGGACTTAGGTATGTGATTTATTATAAGTTGAGATAGTTTAAGTAGTGAAAATATAAAAAAAAATAAAGTATTTAATCTTAATTTCTAAGCACCGCCAAATCACTCTAGGTGATAGTCGCTGATCGAGCGCCTAGCGACTTTTAGAACATTGGTATATTGTTGCTATTGTTTTGCTATGAAGTCATTTGTCTGGCATTATGACTTATATATTGTTAAATTAAATGATTTGATAAAATTGGGAAATGACACAAGAAAAAGAAACAAGAATTGAAATAAATGAAGTGCATGTAATTATTTAAAAAAAAAAACAAAAATAGAAAATGCAATTATGTAATATAGCAATTTTCTCGTAGATGCATTAATTTTTTGTCCCAAGAAGATATTCAGTTCTTTTGCCCCATCCCATCGTTTGTTTCCATAATATCGTATAGTACAGAAACATTAATTCAAAATGTCCATGAGAATTTATAGGGCCAATATTGCTAGATGCTAACAAGGGCAAAGTGTCGCATCAAAAAGGGTCAAAATTTATAAATGCTATCAAGGGAAAAGTATCTCATCAAAAGGGTGAAAGGCATGAATTATTCAGCTGTAATTGCATTTGATTAGCTATTAGAGGTTACAATTTTTGAATGCACTCATTTTTTTTTTTTTTTTTTNAATATTATAGCAAATTATGATGGGATTTAATCCAACACAATGGCAGATCAAGATTAAACTAGTTAAATCATTAGTGTAATCAATTGTTATAGTGATGCTATTTTTCAAAATTTAAGCTAATAGATATTACATGATCAAGGAGTTGAAATGCCTATATAGGTCGCTCTGATCAACCCATTAATTCAAACCGAGAACTTACCTAAGAGAAAATTAATACTCTGATTTTGAATTTTAACACGTGCGTTGACATGGAACTAGCTTATACATCCATAATTGACAAGCTAGCTAGATGGGTCGTGACAATAGAACTAGTATCGAAAATAACATAATTAACTCACAGGATACAAAAAATATCAATCTACACATATTTTTCTTCATATTAATTTCCAGATCGAATTTATTCTTATTTTAGTAGTATGAAGTGGGAAAATTATGAACTTCATAATATATATCTATACTCAAAAGCTATAATATAACACTTTAATTTACCATGTCAGCTGAATATCATGCACCAACCTTATCAATATATAGTCCATGCTAAGTTCATAATTAGTAAATGCTTAATAGTCTTCCACAAATATATATAAAACTCAAAAATAAGAAATTACTTTTTTGAAATCCATCAACATTGAAAGTTCAAGCAATTTAGAACCTGCAGGTTTACCTTAGTTTTTGCAAATCTGGAGCAGTACTATGTGAAAATTCTGCTTATCTCTAGGATTCTGAGGCTTGTCACATATGGTTCATAGAGAGAAATTGATCACCATGAAAATATATATACTTAGTAGTTTTTTTCTTTTTTTTTGGTCTGAATTTGTTGGTAAGAGCTAAAGAGAGTGGAAAAGAGGGAAACCCTAAACAGTAACGCGCAATATCTAAGAGAAAAAGGAAGAAAGTACAGCAAAAGCCAAAAGCTCGAGCATATTTTATAGACCCTCCTATATGGCTACATTGTAGTAGTTTGTATATGAATACCAAAGTTAATATTGTATGTACAAACCATAGTTTTGAAAATAGTTGTTTGTGAACTGGTCAAACCCGGTTAGAACCGGCCCAAAAAGGGTCGGTTAGATTGATTTGTATAATGCACTATATAATTAAAAGTATTATTTAATTAAATATCTGTCTGCTTAATCAATTCTTAATCTGACTAGTGAATCGTTAAAATTATAGATTGACCGGTTCAATGATCTATCTATTTTTTAGAATCTTGATATAATTAAGCGGTAAAATTTGCATAAGTAATGTGAATTATAGTATTTTTTTTTAATTTTATGCATTATTCTAAAAACTATAATATTAGTATTATTCTAAAATATACTATAAATGTATCAATAATTTAGGTATTTGAATATTTTAAATATTTATTTAGTGATGATTTAGTATATAAAATTTATTATTTAAAATACTATATAATTTCTGAAATTTTATTTATTTACATACCGATCCAATCAATTCGATCATTGATAAAACCGTTAATCATTGAACCTCTAGTTTCACCGGTTCATGACAAATAGAAAAGCTAAATTGTAAATTATCTTATTTTCTTATTTTACGAATTATTCCAAGAACTCCAATATTATTTTCTCTAATAATCATGACATTCATTAATTAACTGATTTTATATTCATTGATTTATACTTGATTTTAGCTTCATGTTAACATAACTAGTATGTGGCCCGTGCGATGCACGGGTAAATAATATTAAATAATATGTATTCGTTTAGAATTTTGAGTGTCACTTTGAGATTTTTTAAGATTTGAGACTTTTAAGATGATCAAATTTTAGAGGAATACTATGAAATCTTAAGTGTGAATGTGAGATTTAGAGTGAAATTTTGTATAATTTTTTTTCTTCTAAATCATAACTAATCTTAAAAAGACCTAACAAATCTTGATCTCAAATAAGTTAAATATTTAAGGATATTTTAAGATTTTTTTAATTTTTATATATCAAAGATGAACAACTTTTGTTACCAAAAAATGTGGACACAATTTTGAATTTACATCCCGTCCAAATATTAGTTTTATTCTAAAATAAAAATTGCACGTGGTTTTATCCAATTTACTCACTTTTTTTTTAAAGAAAAAAATTATTCAATAAGATTGGAAGAATTGGTTAAGAATTATACAACTATTTGTTTCCAAAATTTGTATCCAATTTGTACGGTTTTTAAGTTAATCTGTATTTAGAATTTTTTTATAAATAATTGACACATTTTTTGCATAAAAATCTCCAAATTTGTAACAAAAAAATATATGATTTAAATATTAGTAAAAAAAATAGAATTCAAATTTTGTCATAAGAATCTCCAAATTAGTTACAAAAAAAATAGGATTCAGATTTTGTTACTAAAGATTCACATGTATTTTTTTGAACTTTCCATTAATAGTTCGTCAAAACATTGTTTTTTAGGTCAACCTTACTATTTTTGTATTTTTCCAACAACCTCTTTATATTACTATAGATACGATACAATAACTTTCAAACAATAATCAATCTTAATTACAAGAAACAAGTTCTTAGTACATTAACTTTCAAACAATAATCGATCAACTATAAAATAAGTCGTGCCTATTGATAAATTATATATACCATCGATATAAAATTTTCGTGTAATATAGATATCTACCAATTTACAGTGATTATTTATCAATTATTAAGTATTATTACATACGAACTAATATCCAAATCATCTCTTTCTTCTTCTTCTTCTTCTNTATGTTTTTCATCCTTGACGAATTTGTCCGTCAAACCACTGGCAACGAATTTTGAAAGTTGTTTTTCTTGTCCGATTGAATTTTATGAAATTCTAATTTGCCTTTACCGCTAGCTAATCTTTTGCTCAAAGGATAATGAGGCAAAAGTCTCTTAATTAATTGGTAGCTTCAAGTATGTTGTTCGTACATCGTATATCATAGTTAATTTATGTGAAAAGTAAAGTAATAGAAGACTAAATCAAAATGTATCAACGTCTTACCTACTGGAGTGAAAATATCATCCAGTGTCTGAAACGGGGGAAAAACGGATGCGGGTCCACTAACATGGAACGCACCATAAGCGGGAAAAGCCCATATGAAGCTCAAGTGGGTTTCTATCCCAAAACCAATTGGTGGGAGAAGGAGTAGGCCATTAGACTTATAAGTGCGTCTATTTTTTATGTACGAACGATGTGAGATAACTCACAAGTGATATTCTAATATTTCTTAATATTATGTTGTAGTAATTTTGTATGTCAATTTTTGGTGGTTTGGAGTAATATATGAATATTCGATTTTATTTGTGTTGGACTTTTAAAAATATAAACACATGACCGGCTTACCTTATAAATTATTTTAAAACTCATAATTTTTTATTTGTTATTATTCTTTGATATATGATATATCAAATTAATCATTAATGTTTAATTTGATATTCATATTACATACATGAAATACTTTTTTTATAAATAAAAGTTAGGTTATTTGTCAGTCATAACTGAAAAATATTTAAAAAAGAAATTTATTTATCAATTGAAATAAGGTATATTATGTAGTATAAGTGAGAATAATCATTATAATGTATAAAATCATCGAGTCTTACGGGTGACATATGTCACTTTAAATAAAAATTGTAATGTATTTTCAAAAGTATTCAAAAAAAGTGAAACTGCTATTTCTTTTTTTTTTTTTAATTTTACTATATTAAATTTCTTAATTAGTATTCGTGCAATGAACCGCGTTGTACTACTAGTACAAAAAATATGTATATTATTTAGAGATAATATAGTTAAAAGATTTACTCAAATCACAAAATCTCTAGCTAGATCCTAAATCATGAAAACCTAGTACTCGCATCATTCACATTTGAACATAGCCCAACATGAGCCAATTTGAGTGGCGATCAAAATTTAAGATTATGTCGAAATACATAATTTAATTATGCAACGTTATCATTTATTTAATGTTAATTTAGTCATTACAAAGGCTATCTATTTAATTATGCACGCTATCATTTATTTAATCAACAGTAAAATAAAGTGTGTATAAGAAACATGAGGACGTTATATTTATTAACTTTATGCATTTTTAACTCAACCACTTTTTTCAACTCAACCCAACTATCATTAATATTATTAATATAATTAAATAATATCAATCAATCATTCTTACATATCACATTAACCTTAATTCACTATTCATCCACTCACATAATTTTAACTAACCATCATTTCAAATCTCTCTCTCATACTTTTACATCAAATCAACTTTAATTATTTTATTTTAAATATTATTTTAATATATCCACTAACAACTAACCATACCACGTTTTTCAAAATTAACCAAATTAAACCAAAAAATCCAAACAAATCCAAAAAATTTTATATCCAAGCATCCTCTAATAATTTCCAATTGCTGAAAGAGAAAAAAAAGCAACCTAATGATTTGAGTCGCACTTTATCGAAAGGTTAAATGAGGCAAAATTATAAGTAACATTTTTAGATAGATAATAGTCTTACTTAATAATTTTTGTGATCACAGAAAATGGCCCGACTTTATTAATAAAATCGAACGTATGCTCAACAATACAAAAAAATACTGACTATTTAATTGAAAGAATATTCACTAACTTATGCAATTGAGCATATTGTATTTTGAACCTCATTTTAATAATCCCTAAAATTATTGAATAAATTTATTGTTTATTTAAAATTACTGAATATATTTTATAATTTTAGTACATGATAATATTTGATGACTTGGTGAATTAAATAGTGAAGAGTGGGTACATAATATGAATGTGGAAATTAAATTGGCATCATACAATAAATAAATGCGTGTAACTACCCATTGAAATCTTGTCACAGGCATATAATCCAGTTAACCAATAAAAATGGAAATCATTAATTCACGTTTTTATGGGACAACTGATGATATCTTTTAACTATGCTATGTTCCAAGCCAGACAAATTCTGTGATTAAATAATGATATTAAGACAAACGAATGAAATATTTATTAGTCACCGGCCTATACTTAGGCATGAAGATTTGATCCTACCCCTATAAAAAATCAAATAATGAACAAACTTAAATTAGATGAATTCGACTAATACGCCTATGTGTACGTAATACCATGACATAGCTAATAATGATGCAATTCGCTTGTAAGCAAGCACACAGCACAAAGTCATGCCATGAATATAAAATCTAACTCTTGAACTTGATCAACAATTTTAAGAAATTTTATCTCATGTATGGGCTAATGAGTTTCTTCATATGATTACAATTATAAGAAAATTAAATGTGTGCGTCAAAATTTTTGGATATACTGATGTAACAGAAGCAGGTGGATCTGGTGGTCAGAGAACACAACGAGGAAGAACAATTTCTTTCACAATAATTTCATAATATTCATAATGAACACAACACATCTGTTTTTAATACCACATGTCCTAACCACTTAAAGCCCAAATAAAACAAGCCCACTACACATAAATAAATAGTCTCAAACATAAATAATAAAAATAAATATAATAATAATCACACTAAAGGCCGGAGTCGATCATATACGCCAAGAAACGCCAACGCACTCTCGTCGGCATCATTCTCCCCCGGTTGGAGAGGATTCGCCATCGAATCCGCACCACTCTCATCGGTAGAATTGTCACCATGAAAAGGCACCAAGTGCTTGACATTGAAAATATCCGAAGTACGAATATGAGACGGTAAACGAAGTCGATAGGCATTCGGGTTAATTTTGTCAATGATCTCCACAGGACCAATCTTTCGGGCCAACAACTTATTATACTCCTGTGTCGGAAAACGGTCCTTCGTAAGAACGGCCCACACGAAACCACTAACATCAACTTCACATGCCGACGATGAACATCCGCTCGACGTTTATAGGCGGAAGTAGTGGCCTCCAAATTTGCACGAACCTCATCATGTGTATGCTTCAAATCAGACATAATGTCTTTGCCCGTCGATCTTCTAGCCTAGAAGAAGGCAAAGAAATCAAATCAGCCGGCCCAAGTGAAACAATACCATATACCACCTGAAAGGGACAACACCGAGTAGCTCGACTAACAACAGAATTATGTGCAAATTCAGCCTGACTAAACCGCATATCCCAAGAACGTAAATTATCACCAACTAGACAACGAAGCAAATTTTCCAAAGAACAATTAATTATGATACCAAAATGATGCAGCAAAAGCAAATGGATATGGTGTTCAGAGAACACAACGAGGAAGAACAGTTTCTTTCACGATAATTTGATAATATTCATAATTGACCGAATGAACACAACACATCTGTTTCTAATACCATACGTCCTAACCACTTAAAGCCCAAATAAAACAAGCCCAACACACATAAATAAATAGTCTCAAACATAAATGATAAAAATAAATATAATAATAATCACACTAAAGGCGGGAGTCGATCATATACGTTGAGAAATGCCGAGAAATGCCAACGCACTCTTGGATATATATATATATATATTATTATTTTTTTGGTTTGATTTGGTAATTTTGAAAAATGCGATATGATTAGTTATTAATGAAATTTTAAGCTTATATTAAAATAATTTAAATTAAAATATAAAAATTGATTTGATGTAAAAGTAAGAAAGAAATTATGTAAATTGATGATTAGTTAAAATTATGTAATGGATGAATAGTGAATTAAAGATGATGTAATGTGTAAAATTAATTGAGTGATATTATTTAATTATATTAATAATAAGACTGTAAGATTGAATTAAAATTGTATTAGATTTGAGATAAAAAAAAATGATTAGTTAAAAATGATTGGTTTTTTTATAATATCTTGTATCAAGCATCATTCATCGTATTTTTCGTTGAAAAATAGGGGATAATTTCTTTATTCTAATTAAAGCGTACACGTAGAATATTATGTACTAATTCAATATATCATAAGCAGACAATCTTTATTTTCAAAAAATAGGACAATTACGTTGGGCATAAAAATATTCTAATTTGAAAGATGCGAACATTGTTATATACTTATATACCTCAATACACTTGTACTAAAAAAGTATAACAAATCAACTCACCTAACAAACAAACAATTAGGTTGTGGAATAATTTGAGGACAAAAGATACTATTCCTGGAACAACTTAGCAGTTAGAACTCACTTTTGGTGCTAAAATTCAAAAAAACAAAATGGCTGCATCCTTTACAGAATACAGATCCCCTCTGAGAAACACTACAAGTGTGCTCTCACAAAATTCGTTTGCAAACACATTGCATACACATAAATATATTTGTAAACTATACAACAAGAAATAATTTACTCAAAGCATTACAAATAATAATTTTTCAAGAAACCGGAAAGTAATCCCGGATCGTCTTTCTTTTCAAAGACGAAGGAGGATTTAGAACTGAGGACGGGCTGCTGTATTCAGCTTCTGGGGTTTTATATAAGTTTTCTTTGACTTCAAAACTTAGGGAGAATTTTTTCTTCATAGACTCAGGGGTACTTACTTCAGGGGTTCTGTTAGGCTGTGGCGAGTCCACATGGCACGTTTCACTAAGGCACGTGCTTTCTAAATCGGTCTTTGTGCAGGAGGTTCCATCTAAGAACAGTTTTTTCCTTTCTATTTTGGGAAATGTCCTCACTCTCTTTCTCATTGATGATGGAGACCGAGTACTTGAATAACAGCTGGTTTTGATGTTCCAAAATCGAACCTGCATGAGAGATTATATAGGAAGTTTATATTAGATTCTGGATTATGTTATTTAGCATTATACTATAATATATTTTTTTTGGGAGTTTTTTAAGGTACAAAACTTACAGTGAAATCATCTGAGCAAGTTGCCACTTTCCCAGTCTCTGAAGGGCACCTAGATTAAATTAAGTGCCAAACAGAAATGTAAGAGCTTATACAAAAATGCAAAGAAAAAAGGATGATTGAGGAATAATATGTGCTCGTTAAGACTTACCAATCTACAGCTGTGACTTCACCATCATGGCTTTTCAAAATGATAGGATCACACTGAGGTTTGTTCACCTGCCATATGTAGGCATTTCCATCACTCGACCCGCTGAGTATGTGAGCAGCATCAGGACTTATTGCTGACTGTACAGGACGTATTATATTTGTGAGCAATTAAAATTGGATAAAACTAGGTTGAAACAACTGGACATATAATAAACTTGTGAAGTATACCTTCACGAAAAATGACTCAGTTCGGCCTCCAGAAAAAGTTTTTGCTGGCCCCTTTTCAAGCTGAAGCACATTGTAAAGGTATATTCTGAAAGGAAGCAAATGTTGTGAACAATACTTTGTATAGGTACATTCTGCCTTTAAATTGAATAATGCATCAGTACATTACGAAAGAACAAAATATCCAGAAGACTTGATGGCTAACAGTATGGAAATGAATTTGGATCAAGTAGTTCACCTGTGATCCATACACGAGGCCGTAACAAACACACCATTCAAATCTTGAGACAAGCTGGATATGCCATGTCTTTTTTCCTGAAATAAGGAAGTACAATTTGGTTTTTAAGTAACAAGCTATGAAAGAATCTTAATGCACCTATAACTTGTTTGTACAAATATCTTCAACTCTGCACAATTCAGCTTTTTATTAGAACTACGGTGATTTAAGAATGTCGTAGAGTAATTCGGCATAATATGGTAGCTCACTTACATTCTGTTGCTCTTCTCTGCGCTCAGGTTTGTTTGAAGTTGCTTTTCCAAAAAAGATATCATTTTATCATATGACTGTTCAACAATTATATTTCTTGTATGCCAATATTCTTGAACCAGTTCCATTTCAAAATGTTTTTTTTATAAAATCACAGCATTTGTGATTATTCTAATATTTTGGATAACAATTCTCCAAAGCAACTACCTAGGCTTCCCTCATGCTATACCATATTGGTGTCTCTGACTCTATTATGTAGTGTAAGACTCACCTTTGTTGATGACTTCGGATTAGGACATGCACAAATAACTGGACCTTTAAGATGCCTCGTGTCCCAAAACTTGATAACACTGAAATTTAAAACAAAAAAAATAGACCAATATTATTTAATGATTCAAGATGGGCATAGGACACACACACACACACACACACAAACAATTGTACATATTATAGTAGATATAATGTTTTCCACAAACCTGTCAACTGCCCCAGCAGTAGCAACAGATACTTCATCCTTGAGATAAAGCACAGATGTGATGCTCATGGATTCAGCCTAGAAGGAACTAAATTCACTTGAACCAAAGTTGGTTTACATTATTCAAAACATAACAGATATAAACAAATAAAGTTACCTTCCCACGTCTGCATCGTCTTCGACCAGAAGAAGTGTGAGCCCCGGGCATTTTATCAAATGGACTGAAAAATTCAGCATCATGATTAGAAATACTTCATATTCTGTAGTTTTTTTAATTAAACTTTCATTTTTTAAAGATAGACTACGTATCTGAAGTGTTGAATAAACTGATTCCTCTATCATATGCAACTGGAAAGAGATGTTAGAACTTACTCCCTCAAATTCAGCTTCTGATATGTATTATCTGAGCATCTGGTGTCCCATACAGCAAATGATCCATCTCTTGATCCAGACACAACAAGGTCTGTGAAACATAGTAAAACTAAATTAAACCAGAACAACAGAGAACGGGTACATTAAATGGGACCACTTGAAAGAAATTAAATGGACAAATATAATGAATGATAACATGAAACTTTAGTTGCTTACTGTGATTAGTAGGGTGACAACTGATGGATTTCACACTTCCTGTGTGCCAGGTCAATACCCTTATGCATGTCTGCTCTTGTACATCCCAGACCTTGATCTAGTTATATAATGTTGAGCTTTTTCAGAAATCAAGCCATAAAGTTGAACAAAGGAATATATTGAGCTTTTCCATCTCTCAGCAAAATGTTCGCCGATGAGAAGGGTACTTAGTGTCATTTCAAGAACAAAGGTGACTTACACTTTGATCACCTGAAGCTGTTAATATATTTGCATCATCCTGGAGGACACATTGATTCAGTCAGTTGTTATGATGTGAACAATTTATGCCAAGGCAATGTATGCACAAAAAGCAATTTGGTTTTAGTTTATTTAGTTTAATGTCGACCTTAAGGTTAGAAAAAAGTGAGGCTCAATCCTTTAGTCTCTACCATCAATTAACTTATTCTATCAAGTCAACCACCTGAACCTGATGCAACACCAAGTTTCATGGCATATCTTTTAAAAACTTAAAAAGTACATGTCCTTTCATAAAGTAAGATGACCAAAGAACCGAGTCTCTTGAAATGGGCTTTGCAAATTTGAGACACAACCATAACAATTCTGAAGCTCCAAACTCGAACAACAATTACATCATAAAATCATTCCAAAGCATAATATGGTGTATATTGACCATGGGATGACCTACAGAAGTGACCTGTAAATATTAATGAGGCCAGTAAAGTACTAATGTCAGACAGTTCTCATCAACTTTTTTCAAGTAAAACTTCAAGACAATAAGATCGAAAGTGAATAATCGCATTACGTTAGATGATTAAGTTGATAGAACAGTACCACATGTAAAAAATGTAATTTGTTTAATTTAGTGAACACACAATACTAACCCACTGTATATTTTTAAAAAATAAATACAAAATTAGAGAGCTGAGACAGATGTAAACCTTGTTCCAACACAGATCAAATATGGCATTGTTATGACCTACCCACTCGGATACTTTGGCTTTTTCTGCAAAAAACAAAAACCAAGAACAATTAATTTAAACGCAACCATTCACCCCCAATGTCAAAGCCATAGCCAATGACCAAACATCCTATAACAAAAGGACACTAATTTACCTGCATTTTCTTGGTAAGATGATGAATCCACGAACCTCTTCCTAGTGTCAAACAAATTTACATAACCCCCCTCGTCAGTGAGAGCAAGAATGTGGCCGTTCTTGCTAGTCTACGCATCACAAGACAACATGTCATTTACTGATTTACAATCATTCAGCTGAAATCTAAACTCGCACACACAATAACAATATAGAATCAACCTTGCCGAACGATAAAGACATTGGAGGCGAAGGCTCGCCTCTGTGCTCAACTGCTACAGCTCCTGCTGGATCCAAATCTCTCATCTCGTTGGTAGGGTAGGGACGCTTTTTTACTGNNAAACAATACATATGATTCAAATCGAAAATTTATAGTACAAAACCATTGGAGCCACATAAAACAACACCTTATTGAAAATTACCTCTGAATCCATTGACTTCTCTTAGCTTCAGATCTTCGAAAAACGATGGAGGTCGTGGAGTTTCCATTTTCTGCTGCTCGTGGAGTTTCGTCTTCCAGCACGCCGGCAGGGGAGCGTGGAATAGTGTGTGTTGATATTGAGGGGGGCTTGAATGGATGGAGTACGGGTGGAGATTTTTGTGGGAGGGTTTAATTTGGCGCGAAGAGCGGGTGCTCGGCGGTGGCGGGAAGTTTTGAAAATTTTCGGTCTTTGGGTGTTGAATGGAGTTTGGCGGTAAAGCCGGGGACTTTGGGTGGGGGCATTACTGTCATTTAACATCCTCCAAACAAATTAAATGAAAAAAGCATTTTTTATTTAAGAATCAAGAAAATAAAAAAATAAACAATCCCGTGTGATTTGCATAATTTTTAATCCAAATATCAAATTAGTTGATATTTGTGATATGTCATGGTTTCTATGTTTTCGTGTTAATTTTATCCTCATGAATTATTCTTCCCGAGGTGTTAATCAGCGTCTGCGTGGCGTGGCCTTCTCCGTTTCCCTTTTTATGGATCGCCACCGTATACAGCTGCTCCTTCTCCGGTGTTATCAGCTGATTTTGGCCGGATATATCCTGCACTCGATTCACCTTTCACTATTCAACGAATTCATGCCCGTCGGCGGCAGGTAAGCAAAATAAATCTCTATATTGTTGTGTACGAGTTCCTTTCAGCACAAAGTTTGTTCGTTTTTCTCCAGAATTATGCAAAAGTGAACTGCACGACGAAATTAAGCAAAAGGATAATGCGTATTGAATGTTACGATCTCGAGCTAGGCACTGTAATATTGCATAGACATTCCTCCATTATACAGAATTATTGCATACATTTCCTTCACATCAGTACTTTCAAACTTGTACAAACATAAAAAGTAATTTACAACCCCCTGACAAAAATCATGAAGTGAAAAAATTATTAAAATGGAAAATAAAAACAACTTCAAGCTGGAGTACAGCTGACTTATTTCGGAGATCATGGCTTTGGATGAGTGGATTTTCCTGTAATGGCTTTCTTTACCTTGGCAATTGAATGCTTCACTTTGGATCCAACACCTGATAGTATGTTATGTGATTTCTTGTGAGCAACTTTCACGTCCGCATCCCCTGCATCCACCATGACCGGAGCTTCAGAACACAGCTCTATCTGTCCTGGTTTGTTTAATTCCTCCCCATCGTCCTTTTCTCCATCAGGTTTCCTTTCTTCATGCTCAGTCTCATCGGCTTTTTCTGCCCCCAGGTCTTCATTGTGCTTGGCTGTCTCTTTCTCATGGGCAGGTTGGGTTTGGGAGGTTTCTTTTGGGTACTCCTGAGGAAGGTCCGATTGTAAAGGCTCATCAATATTTTTGTTTTTCAGAAATTTGTGTTCATCCTGAGAACATTCTGCAGCGTTTCCACGTGTAACTGCTGTGATATTGTTGTCGCCAACTGACTTCTCGGGATTTGTGTTCCTGGTATGATCTTCTTTGGAGACTATATGTTTATCATCAGAAGGTATAGGTGTTACCTTTAGCTCCGTTGTACCAGTGCCTTCGAATCCCATTGGGAGATCCTTTTCTGTTATTCCAGTGTTTGAACATTTGACATCTGGTGATATGGAAAGAGAGGCAACTTGCCCTTTTGTTTGAATTTTTTCATTCTGAGCCGTATCATCTACTGAACTCTGATTAACATCGGACACTGAGATACTTTGAGACTCATAATCTGTTATTATTTCCTCTCGAGAATTCACCTCTTCTGCTCTTGTGACAGACTCAGATGTCCTTTCCAGTTGTTGTTCGTCTCTTTCTTGCTGGAGTGTAACAGACATGGGGCCTTTCCGGTTTGCTTCAGCTTCTTGTCCATCACTAGAACCCTCAGCTTCTTGGTGGCCAGTTAATTCGGTGCCTGTGGGTTCTTCTTTTTCACATTTCTCTTGGGAGTACTTATTCATGGTCGTGGAGTTTTCATTATCTTCTGGAACAACCTGAGCAGCATCACCGCTTGAAACTTCTATAGTGTCCTTGGTATGAGATGAAAAACCAACCTTCTCTGTCTCAACATAAGTGTTCTTATCTTCATCTTCAGTCAGTATAGTCCAGGTTTCAGCTCTTGTTCCCTCTTCCTCGGGTTTATTAGCTGATTGCATTGGGTTTATCTGTAGAGTTTTTTTTTTTTTTTTTTTTNGGGGGAGGTGGTTGTATGTGCGAGATAGAGAGAGAGAGAGAGATAGATAGATATTCTAACCTCATCTTTTGCTGGTAATTTTCCCAACTCTTCCACAACCTTGTCAATTGCTTCTTCACGAACAGTTGGCACCTGCATGTTGAATGACATTTCAATGTTTTGAGACAAAGTGGTTCATAAGCCGAAGAAAATATTTGCACTTGCTCTCGAGATTTGTGTCGGTATTCTTATCATCAGAAGGCATAGACGTTACCTTCAGCTCTGTTACACCAGTGCCTTTGAATCCCATCGAGAGATCTTTCGCCGCTATTTCTGAATTTGAACATTCGACAGCTGATAAAGTGAGAGGAGAGGCCATTGACCTCTCGGTTTCCTGAGTTTCATCACTTTGAGCTGTATCCTGTACCGAACTCTGCCGAACATTGGACTCCGAGATATTTTCAAAGTCATATTCTGCTATGTTCTCTTGAGAATTCACCTCTTTTCTTTTCGTGATAGGCTCAGAGTTCATTTCCACTTGTTGTTCATCTATTTCTTGCTTGAGTGTTTCTGACACATGGCCTTTCTCGTTTGCTTTGGCTGCATGTCCTTCACCTGAAACCTTGGCTTCTAGGTGTCCAGTTAGTTCTGCTCCTGTTGGTTCTTCGATTGCACATTTCTCTTGGGAGTACTTATTTTTGGTTGCGTTGTTCTCGATTTCTTCTGGAACATCCTCAGCAGCATCACTCGGTAGAACTTCTGTCGCATCCTCAGTATGAGATGAAATCCCAACCTTCTCAGCCTCAACGCAAGTACTCTTATGTTCATCTTCAGTTGGTTTGGTCCAGGTTTCAGCCCTTGTTGACTCTTGCTCGCCTTTATTGGCAGAATACATTGGGTTTATCTGCAGAGTATATTACAAACCATTGTTTTTAATAAGTCTATCCATTAGAGTGTGGGTGCGTGTGTTTCACGTGCTTGAGAGCGATTTACCTCATCTTTTGCCTGGATTTCTTGTATTTCTTCTAGATCTTCCAAAACCTTGTCGTCTGCCTCTTCAGGAAATGTTGACACCTGCATGATGAATGACATTTCAGCATTTTGAAATGAAGTGGCTCACAAAGGAATGAAAGTATCTGTACTTGTTCTTGCTGACCTTTTCTGTGGTACTTGGGTTCTTGATGACTTCAGATAATTCTTCTGTCTCTGTATTTTCTTTTTGTTTTACCTGATCTTCGAGGTGTCTCTCTGTAATATCAGCCTTGCAAAAACCACGATGATCATCTTGAACATCTTCATCGTCGTCATTGATCTATGTTTTTCATTATTTGGTTAGTATATCATGATATTTGAAACGACAAAATTGACAAACTGTGTTGAAAAATTAACTGAATTTAAAATTGTATTCTTGGTACTGCACCTGGCTAGGAATATTGACTTCCACGGTTTCTATGGGTTCAGTTTTAACCTCTACAATAGCTGATTCAGAGACTATCTCTGCTGCTGCTTCAAGACTTTGAACTTGGTCAATAGTATCAAGCACCTGATTTTTCACTTCGTGCTCTGTTTTGCTTTCTTCAAGTGCAAATCCAAGTTCATTTGCATCTGGTTTTTCCTCAATGCCTGAGTGACCATGTTCATTGTTATGTCTTTCGTATGAAGGTAGTAAAGCTGAGGTTTGTGCAACGCTTGTGTCCTCAATTTCTTGATTTTCATTAGCTCCAGTAGCCGTCTGTACATATTTTGGAGATTCAGCATCTGAAGTTGACCTGTCAGCACCATCACCGTCACTTGTATCTCTGATATTCAGAGCTGCAGAAGTGAAGTCTGATATTATTTCTTTGCTTGCTTCCTTCTCTTTGTTCTTTTCAAATTCTGTCTCCTCAAAGTCATATGTTGGTGTTTTTCCTGTCAGCACGTCTTCTTTATTTGTTGCCATCTCTGTTTCAGCAAAGGGGTGATCTAGTTCTGATGATACTCTGAAAGATTTTGGAAGTAGGTCATTGGTCACTGAAACTGATGCACGCTCTGGCTCCTTGGTTTCTACTACAGTTTCAACTGAGAGTACTTTCTCCTCTGCTTTCTCTTGCTCTCTTTCACCAAGTTTTTCATCTTTTTGATTGGTTTGATCATTTGTGATTTCACTCTCCTGCATGTCTTTGATTTCTGTTGGTTTCTTATCTGTAGCAGGTAGGGATTCTTCCTCTAGCTTTTGTATTTCTTGAGGGATAACAGAATCTGTAACACTTGCCGAACATGGTTTTTCGTCCTGTTCTAATTTTTCCATGGCTGAATCCAGGACAAGAGCTGAAACATAAAGCTCCTCATCTTGTTTTTGAGCTTCTTCATTAACAGCCTCGAGCCACGTTTCTTCTATGGGATTTAGACTAGGCTTGGTTGCTGAATCTTTTTCTGACACGACATCGGATGATGGAACTTCCTCCAATGCAACAGAGTTGGAACTAACATTGGATGATGGAATTTCCTCTAATGCAACAGACTTGGAACTATCTGACATGTGTTTGATGTTGTCTGAAATTATTCTGTCTTCTCCATCGTTCAAGTTATTTGATTCTGAGACATCCTTTTTATTTCTTGACTCTGTGTCTTGTTTCAGTTCGGCTTTGTTTTCATTATCTTGAACTCGAGCATCTGTGACTGAGCTTACAGTTGGGTCACTTTTGACTAGACTGCTATTTTCTGGTGCTTTGGTGGGGCCATCCTCTACCACTGTCTTCTTCTGTGCATCAATCTTAGTAGAATCCTGCTCTGGTGGTTCAGATGTTGAGCTGGTAACTCTGGCCACAAGCTCATTGCTTTCATCTGATGCATTTAGGCCAAGTGATTCCTCTTGGTTGCAATTATGACCATCGGTAAAATCCACCACCGTGTCTGTATAAACATCCGAAATTTGTGCTCTTGGGATCTCAACAGCTACTGCTTTTGTGGCCATTTCCTGTGATTTAGTACTTAAACATAAGTAGCAATTGATGAATGCAAATTCAGGTATACCTAGCCGCTAGAAACATTCAAGAGGTGTTGCATCATGTCATTTCACAATTAGCTTCTAACTTGACATGCTCCATACAAGGTAAATTAGACATGGATTCTTTACCCCATATAACAAATAACCGTCCACCATTTAATAATCGCTTGCAACATGTTTCTCTTTCTTAATTTTCATTGTTTGAACTAGTCTGAGTCCTCAATATTGATGTTTCCCAATTAAAATGAAAGATGCTACAACTGAATGCAAATGCAATATTGTTATTAGCATGAAATATTACAAAGAGAACCTTGCTGATTTACTAAGAACTTGGAAGAAAACATCAACAATTAAGTGATATGTCATGTTAGTTTTATGTATTTTAAAAATATTATATTTGAACCAAATTGTGTTAGAATATTTTATTAACCTTAACACTACTCGGTAAATAAAGAACTGGTGTGTACACGTAGACTTTTCTTGCAGTAAAAAAAAAAATATATATATATATGCTAGAACAAACCAAATAAGATCTACAATTATGTGTAAACTAAATGTGTTACAATAACGACTAATGGTATGCTTACCTTGGAAGTATCTTCATTTAAGTCGGTTGCACCAGTTGTTATAACCTCTCGGCGATTATCCACAGTTTTTTCAACTAAAGCTTGATCTGCTTGAAAAATTGGTTCTATGTCTTTGCCTGAAGCAGATGCTTCAATCTCCTCCGTTACTTGCGAGGGCTCGTCAGTTGTTTCTTCTTTTATCAATGCATCATCTGTGATTTTCTCATTTTCAACAATGCCAGCTATGAAAGAGCCTTCATTAACAAGTATGGAATCATGATGAGCGGCATTCCCCATGAAACCTTCGGCCAAATGTGGCTCTTGTGAGCCATCTACTCTAATAGGTGAGTGGTCTTCATTGTTGCCACTTGGAATATTTGCTTCAATATCCTTCAAGGGTTTCAAGGGGAAAGATTATAAATTTGTTCAGTTCATTGTTGCACACATTTTTACTCTATTAATATTAGTACAAGTGCTAATTAAGTTAAAAATTTCAATAGGCAGCATGGTTTTCATCCAAACCTCAGTAATGTTTCCCGTCAAATCTTCTGCAAAAGTAGTTTTTTCTGATTCATCTGGTTTGGTTGCTGAGGATTCTTCTTTGTCAAAATCTAGAACATTGGTTGCAATATCCTACAGCAAGAATCGAAAACTTGTGATTTTTTTTTTTTCAATTAATGATTCTTCATGTTTTTATTTCTCCTTTGTTGTTAGTATAAGTGGTAATTGGCCAACAGTATTAGGACTCAAGAAATAGAACGATTTTCATCTGAATCTCAAAGACGCTCTGAGTAGATGTCTCTGATAAAAGCAATTTTATAAACCATCAACCTTGGTTGTCGAGTCATTTTCCTTGTCTCCACTTATGCTATTTAAAGCAATATCTTATGGTAATAACAATGAACTTAGTTTTCTTCTTATTTTCCTTTAATTTTCTCCTGTACATACCCTTTACTCTTTAATGTGAGTGCTAATTAAATAGTGTTCTACTGTTTGTATGATTTTCACCTGAACCTCCTGAATTTCCCCCCTCCCGTTGGTTTTATCATTGGATAATTTGCCACTTGAGATTTCATGTGGATCGACAGTCATGTCTTGTTGCTCAATAAAACTGGTTTCTGTGTCTTGAGTTGAAGTAGGTGCTTTAGTATTCTCTGAAAGTACATGAGCAGAATCCATGGGTTTCTCCATCTCTGGTTCTTCCTTCCACAAAGCACTTTCTGTGGTGTGTGCCTTCTGAGCTTCTGTAAATGGTGGATTTGCACATTCATTAACCGATTGTTCAATGCGTTCAATTTGGGAGCAATCAGTTTGTATTAGCGACTTCCCTTGAGCTTCTTCATATGGGGTAGTTGTGGCGGTATTCTGCAGTAAGAATAAACCACCCATTAAATCCATTTAATTAGTACAATAAGATATGACTTCATTGGAGGACATGTGCTTTTCTAGTATGATTCTGACCTTATCTTCAAGATTTCCTTCCTTCAGATCAGTAGCATCTATTGTTTTCTCCATTTTGTGATGACTTGTTATTTCTTGAGAATCTGTGGTTAGGCTTTGCGCCTCTTGAGATCTTATTTCACTTTCTTGAGTTGTTTCAGCAACCAAAATACCTTCTGAACATCTCTCATTATCTGTTAAGTTGACTTTTGTTGAGTTGTCATCCTCAAATTTTGCTTCAGCAAGAATTCGTGGCTCAACATCATTGTTGTTCCCAGTTGAAGCATTTCTCTGAGATGGTTCGTGCAGTTCATCTACTTCCACTGGTGAGTTATCTTCATTTTCTCCACCCGAAACGTTTTTTACAATATCCTGTGACAAGAAAGACAAAGTTAATCCTGTTCATTTTGTGGAATAAATATCGAGTTACTTTTTTTCCCTCACAAACTAGACATATTACTAAATATGTGGAAAGTAAGCTTCAGTCAGACTTTAAGTTATATTATGATTTTAAATTTGTACCTCAACAACTTTCTCCTGCTCGTAGGATCCACCAATGGTTTTTTCTTCTGATTTGTCACAGGAGATTTCTTGTGGATCTGCAGGTGGGACTTGGTCCTCTTTAACTGAAGCAGATGCTTTATCATCAGTTTCTACTTGCAATGAAACAATAGGTATTACTTCCTTAACTGAAACACCTCCATTCTTCTCATGCATGTCTGTTGGCACATCGTCATCGTCTTTCACAGTTGGAACTTCTTTCTGCGTGCCATCATCTTTGAGCAGTGATTCATTTTCATTGCCTCCATCTAGATTATTTTGTACAATATCCTGTAGAGGGAACAGAAATGTAAACCAATTCAATTGAAACAAATAACATTTTATGTATTTCTGCTGTTCAAGTTCAACCTAGTTGATTTATTGTTACTTATGTTCTAAACTAAGTATTCATCCCGTGCGATGCACGTGGCATATTTTAAATAATATTATTTATATTTTATTATTATTTTTATTTACTTTTAG